GAGGACCAGAGAAAGACTCTGTGGAATTGGAGCTTCTAAAGATCTGAGCCTCCAGCCCACCTACATTGCAGGCTGCAACAATTAGAGTTCACTGAGGGAATCCAGCCACTTCCCTGGGGAATTCAGAGATGCCTGTAGAGAAGAACTTTCTTCTCCGAGCCCTATGCTTCCGCACAGCCTTCTGGAAAGTAACCGTTCACTGATAGTGGTTTAGAGTCAGCCTAATGTTTCCTTTAATACAGGGATTTTTTTTCTCCCACAGTTTTCATTCTAACTTTGCTAAGAGCAGTTTACTGGTATGACACATTTGCCTCTATAAAGCAGACTTAGTTGCAAAGAGCCCCTTTTTCCTCCCCACAGAACTTCTCTAGGTGACTTCCAACCTCAGAGTTGAAGCGGCATAAGTGTCTACTCCATGATAAAAGATTTTAGGACACATAGAATTTCACCCCCACCTGTATTAACACTCGCCTTTAGTAGGACCAAAAGCTCCTGAGAGAGTGGTAAGAATTAAAGATCCTCACAAAAGCATCACCTAGCAGCTGCTAAGGGTACAGGCCAGTGATCCCCAGTACTTGCTGGAGAGACTAAGGTAGGAGCATTGTAAGTTCAAAGCTAGCCTGGGATACATTTTTGAGACTCTATTTAGGATGGAAAAGTCACTCATAAGGTTTCCTACTCTCTGGGCAATGGTTAACACTCTACAGATTCATCCATCTGACCTTAGACTGATCTCATGTAAAACACAGACAAGAAAATAGAGGAGACAGGAACCACAGACTTCCCACTCAACCCATTCTTTCCATCCTTCATACTCACAAAACATCAATAAATTGAGGCGGTTCCGAGACTTAATAGCTAAAACAGTTAAGTGAGGAAACAAAACAATTCAGTATACAATGGTGTGGTTATATTTAAATCAGACTTCAAAAGCTTTGAGAAACTGTTGAACAGTTAAACATCTAGAAGCAAACAGACTTTCTCCAGAGTTTTAGGGATTAGGCAAACTTTTTTTGTTTTTGTTTGTTTGTTTGTTTGTTTGTTTTAGGACAAAAGGCTATACCCTAAAAAAATAATAATTCACATTTTATTAAGAGCTTCCTAGCCCCAAACATAGCATTCATGGGGTGGTACTCTCCAGGACTAATCATTTACTGAGGAGCTAGTGGCCACTGTTAGCCACTGAGGAGGGACAATCATTAATTGAGGTTGTAGCCCACTGGTAGGTTCCTATGCTCCAACGCATGGCTCCACACCCATGTACTTATGGACATCACAAAGTGGACTTAGGGGGTTATCAAAAAGAAAGTATTAAGGGGAAAGGGGGGAAAGACATGTAGGGAAGAATACGGTCACTATGATCTTTTTTTATTGTACGCAGGTAAGATATTCTCAGGATAAAGAAAAATTGAAAACACATAAAAACCTAAGAGCTTCTGTTCACCAAAAAATATCATTAAGAACATGGCATCGCTGCTGTGTGGAAGGTATAGGCCTGTGGTCCCAGCTCCTGGGAAGCTGAGGCAGGAGGATCACAAATTCAAGGGCAGCCTGGACTACATAGTGAGATGATATCTCTATAAACAGAGGACCAACAAACAATAACACAGTAATACCTCCCCGAAGAACAACAGTGTGGAGATGGGCCTGAGATTGAAGCTCAGGGAAGAGCATTTATCCAGCATACGCTAGCTCCTCAATAGGGGATGGGTCCTGGAGAGTACCACCCCATGAATGCTATGTGAATTATTATTATTTTTCCACAGTGTAGCCGTCTGTGTGTGTGTGTGTGTGTGTGTGTGTGTGTGTGTGTGTGTGTGAGAGAGAGAGAGAGAGAGAGAGAGAGAGAGAGAGAGAGAGAGAGAGAGTGTATGCATAATCTCTAAAACTCTGGAGAAAGTTTGCTGTTTAGGCCCTGGATTTAATTTGTAGCACTACACATAAATAAAACAAAAGCAATAACAAAGAAAACCATGAAGAAGAAAGCCATGGAACAGAACCGTATTACATCTCTGCAACAGCAGGTCATTTCTAGAACTCAACAAACTTCTGAGATGAAAGCAGGAAAGGAGATAACTCAATAGACCCAAGGAGAAGACAGGACCAGGTGGTCCTTAAGAGCTAATTAGCATATGAGAAATACGTTCTATATCTTTAGAAGGAAAAAGGTGTTTGACATAATTACAACCTTCAACTATGAGATTACCACACAATTACCTCAAGTCCTATAACAATGTCTGCAAGCACAGCCAGTACACAAACAAACTGGCCAACAAAAGGCTCAGCGGTGACAGTCCTAATTACTGGTGAGGCTGCTGAGCAGTTAGAGCAGTGGTTCTCAACTTGTGGGTCCCGACCCCTTTTAGGATTCTAAAGCCCTTTTCACAGAGGTTGCCTAAGAGCATCAAAAAACACAGGTATTTACATTACAACTCATAACTATAGCAACATTCCAGTTATGAAGTAGCAACAAAAATGATTTTACGGTTGAGGGTCACCACTTAAGGAACTGCATTAAAGGGTCGCAGCATTAGGAAGGTTGAGATTTATTGAGTTAGAACCTTCCCACACTGATGGAGGCAGGGTAATCTGATATGGTCTGGAAGCCTATCAGGCAGTAGCTAATAAAGCCATATGTATTTAGCCCAAAGCCCAGATATTTCACACATGGAAATAGACTTGACAAAGACAAGTATGTGTACATACCAATATAGTTTGAGTAAAATTAACCAACTGAAAATTGCCTTTTGTCCATTAAATGAATAATCTATAAATCAACACTTTGTCTATTAGAGTGCTGACCCATACTGTACAGATGTTCCTCTGGGGAATAAACTTGCTTTTTAGTCACAGTAGAAAATTCCACTGGTCTTGGCTTGTGGAAAGCATGGAAGGAATGACTTAGGTGTGTGGGTCAATGTGTGCCCACAGTCTGATTCTAGGTAAACATCTGGAACCAGACTTAGGATTGACATCTGTCTTAGTCAGTGTTCTGTTGTGAGACACCATGACCATAGCAACTTTTATAAAGAAAAGCATTTGATTGGGGCTGGCTTCTGTTACAGAGGTTTAATCCATTATTGTCATGGTGGGAGCATGGTGGCAGGTAGGCAGACAGATAGGCAGCGGTGGTACTAATGAGGCAACTGAGAGTTCTACTTCTGGAGTGGCAGGCAGCAAGAGAGAGAGAGACACTGGGCCTGGCTTGAGCATTTGAAACCTTAAAGCCCACCACCCCTGGGGACACACTTCCTCCAACAAGGCCACACCTAATAAGTCACAACTCCTAATAGTGCCACTCCCTATGAGTCCACTGTCATTCAAACTGTATCAAAAGCCAAGTGTGATGACATACACCAATCAGAAGAGATAAATTTGCATGTCAACAAGATTGACTTTAAAAGCGCACTCTTCGGGGGATGCTACCATTTGAGCCTGCAATGTCCCACATAGACTTGTGTTCTGAATGCCTGTTCTCTGGCTGGTGGTACTCTGTGGGGATGCTGTGGATCCCTTAGAAGGAGAGGTATGGTTAGGGAAAACAGAGTACTGGATTCTTCCCAGATCTCTCTACTTCTTGCTCTCCTATGATATGAGGAGGTCTCTCCACACACACCCTCCAGGCAGCTCACTATACCTTATTTATACACCAAAATTCCCTTCCCCTCTCAGATGTTTCTGTCAGGCATTTGTTTACTTGATATAGGGGTTGGAGAGGTAGTGATGGATGACATAGTAAGTGGCCAGGAAATTCTGGCCAAATACTTTGAAGTCTTCTAGTTGTTAATTTTCCATTAGAAGAACACCCAAATTGAAAGATGTAGGATAAAAGACAAAGACTAGAGAAAGGCTCTGTTACTGACTGGTGAGGTTTCTTGGGGTTGGCAGAAGCACCTTAAAAGACACAAAGGAATTAATTCATTTTACCCAGCGCTCCTACTCTTAAATTCCCTTAATGTATGCTCGCACGGCTATTTTTTGGTTGCTTGAGGCTGTGTGTTCATATTCATGTTTACTCATGTGTATTCATGTTTATCTTGCCTGTTTCTATTCAAACACTGTTCTGACTTGATCTGTGTGTTTACTGGGAAGCTGGGATGGGCAAGATCTACCCACTGCATTTGACACCCAGCCCCTCTTTCTCCTTCCCACCTTGACTCTCCAGGTTCTCCTCTTACCTCGAGTTTGCCCTTTGCCCGTTATCACACTCTGGTTTCCTTTTCTCCCTCGAAAACCAGAATCCAGGGAAAGATTTGATAAATCCAATCATCAACAAAGCACATCCCTGATAATATCATTACACAAGTTGCATCCAGCCACTGATGGAAAAGACACAGCCAGGTGGGATTTTTATTTGCCCTGTAGTGAAAAGTCTGGAAGCTAACCTATGCAGTTTGGTACAGAAGTTCAAGGTCTCTGTTATTGTCTTGATCTGTTTCTCGTGCTGCCAATATGGCTTTTTCTTGTCCTACAATCATATCAATATTCCCTATATGAGAAATCGGGGCAGCTGGAAAGGGAAGTGGTCAGCTAAGCCAGGTCGCCTTAAATAGCTTTTCCAGAAGTCTTTCCTAATGACACTTGGTACATGTGTGAGCAAGCTGTGACTATGGTCAACTGGAGCAAGGGCTGTTGCCTGCCTGTGGATCCCTTTCCCCTAGCTGGGCTGCTTTGTCTGGCCTCAGTGGGAGAGAAAGTGCTTAGTCTTGTTGTGACTTGATGTGCCAGGGCTGGAGTGATACCTGAGGGGGCACTCCCTGCTCAGAGGAGAAGGGAAGGAAGGAATGGGGGAAAGGGTTTTGTGAGGGGGGCACTGGAAGGAAGGGGATGTGATTGGGATGTAAAGTGAATAAATAAATAAAATAATGAAAAAAGGGGTGTTGGCTTACCTGTCCACACATTGTCATGTAGACTGCCAACAGTTCCTTATGTCCCTGAACTCCAGAGCACAGCCATGACTGAAACATGGCAGAGGCTCCAGGCAAGTTCTACCTAAACTCTTTTTTTTTTTCTGAAACAATTTCAGGTTTATTAAATCAAATGTTCCCAAGTAAAGATTTCCCAGGGTATACATATGGGAAATCACAGGACATGAGCTTTAGCTGTACAGGAGCCCTCCCGTATCCCTGATGATCACATACTACATGTGTGATAAATTTCAAAAACAAAACAGTCTCAACAAAGTTTTTCTGACACCTCAGAAATATGAACAAGGAATTTTTATTCACTACAATTGCAGTGTCGTGTCACTGTAGATTCAGAAAATAATCATATCATGCAATCATTTCATGGTGGTGCAGCTTCTTTCTTCAAGCTGTTATGAAAATAACAGGGATAGAAGAGATGACTGAAGACCCTCCTTTTCTTCCTGCTGGTTTACATGAACAGTTCCTTCTGTAAGTTTCCTTTCCAAGTAGTCCATTTGTTTTCTGGTTTCCTCAACAATAGCTTTCCGGCGACAACTCTTAATAGCTTGTAGATTCTTCAAGTGTCGATCACATAACTTCTTAAATTCTTCTATTTTCTGCATATGAATACTTTGAAATTGTTGAAAAAGCTTTTGTTGCTCATCAAGTATATTTGAGAGCTTTTCCGAATGTTTCTTGACTTGGTCTACATCTATATTCCACATCACAACCAAAGTCAAAAACTGATGAGAATAGTCCTGATAAAGTCTCTGCCTTCGCTCATGCTGGAGTTTCAAGAAGTGGTCAATGTTCCACTCGATGTTGTGGACCGTATTACTTACATTCAGCACGTACCTTCTCTTTCTTTCATTGAGAGATTTCTTACTAAGCCCTGGCTTTGGTCCAACTGTTTCACAGGAAGAACTGCTTTCCCCACCAGTTTCAAGGGCCGGATTGTTTCCTGGGTTATTTTCATCTAGCTGCTGTAAATCGTCAGATGGCAGATCAGGAGTCACCTTTGGTTGTTTAAGAGGTCTGCCCTTGATTTTGGATGCCATAACTGTAGTCTCCCTGTGCTAGACAGGAATCCTGAACACAATAGATTTTAGGTGCACCTTCAGGGCACCCAGCGATCCATGAAAGCTTGGCCTTGAATCAACCCTAGCCTCACTTCAATTACCACAGGGTTCTTTACCACAGCGTTCCGGTCGATACTTCCGTGTTACCTTCCCCTAACGCTCCAACAACATTCTCAGAATCCTCTCTTTCCTCACAGTTAAAAAGCGTCCAGTTGGTTAGGCCCCGCCTTCCAACGCATATGCCTCTCTCTACCTAAACTCTTGACCAATAGAATCTGTATGATAATGCATTTGTGGTGGTTTCAGGCACGTGCCTTGGGGAATTGTTTAACACAGTAATAGGTAATGATAATGAATGCAGTCTCACTACCTCTCACCAGGCTTGCCTCTTCTGTCTGGGGCTTGTGTGGCTACAGACACAGAACTAAGCTCCAACGTGTTTGAAGTTGCTTCAGTGTAGACTAGTGGCCCCCTAAACCTGGGCCAGCTGCCATGCCAGGACCCCACCCCTTCATTCCTGCAAAGCTGTTGGCTTCTTACTCTCCCCCTACCGCCCCCGCCCTGTGTTCTACTGCCATGGTTTCACTCTCTGTTAGTGGAGCACCTTCCTCAATTGTTCCCTGAGGAAATATGCATGGAAGAGACGCTGCCGAGATAGGCCAGCCGAAAACATATTTCTCCATTTCTATTTGATTGGCAATTGCTTTAAAGATAGAATTCTGGATTGAAAATAACACTGAAGGCATTATCCCAGTAGAGTTGCTATTGAGACAGCAGAAGAAATTCTGATGACTGGTACTTTGTACGTGACCCACTTCTTTTCCTCGCACATGGAGATGTCTGACATTCTCTCCTTGCCCCCAGTGTTCTGAGTTTCCCAGTAAAATGCCTTGATGAAGGTCTATTTTCATCCTTTCTCTGGAGCATCTGGAAACTCAAGTTCTTTGGATCAAGGGAATTATCTTGAATCAGCATCCTTTTCATCATCTACTCCTCTCTCTCTCTCTCTCTCTCTCTCTCTCTCTCTCTCTCTCTCTCTCTCTCTCACACACACACACACACACACACACACACACACACACACACACACACCAGCAATTACTATTTGCTTACACTGAACAGCTCACCTAGATTGGCATCCCATCATCCAATGCGGGTAGTTAGGGGAGCTGCTGAGCTTCGATTTGATTTTCGATGCCATGCACTCAGTTCTTCCGATGACTTCCGGGCTGCAGTGGCTCCTCAGACCCCCTTCCTTTTCTCACCAACCCCCGAATGCCGGGGAAGTGGCACGCTGATGATTGCTGTGCCTCTGCTTGCCCCCACTGCCCGCTCCCTGTGCCATCTTTGTAGCCATTGTTGTACTCTCTTCCCTTTGTAGAGGCTGTGAGAGATGGCTGCTACAATAGTTACAACCCCTGAGCTGGAGCTAGAGCGACTGAACAAACAAGCAAACAAAGGTTGTGGAGGAAAGCTTCCTAGAAGGGCACGCTCAAGCCACAGGACATGCAGATTCCCAGAGCTTCAGAAACAGCTAAACAGGGGATTCAGCATCCTCTACATGAGGCCTTCAGTTCCTGTCTCTGCTTTTCTCTGTGACTTTATTCTTTTCTCTGGAAGGTTCATCCGTGAGCCAAAAATAATGACTATTAATAACGTCAAAGCTTTTCAGTTTACAGCTTTAGTCAGGTGACTTACCAGGTCAGCTCATGGAATCCCAAATTCCAAAATCTTGGACAATGACCTTGACTAGCCAAGCCCAAGGATACCCACTTATGGATCAATCTGCTACAGGCAGAACATTGGACATGGCTCAATAATGCTGATTGTGTTGCTGGCCATGGCTCAGTGCCTTCTGATGTATATTTGGAGATCTACATAGATACTTTCTGTAAGAATACTTCAACACAATGATTGGGTGAGCCTTAACACAGACTTTTCTCTTCTCTGAGACATAGATAAGAGGAACATGTTGGCATCCATAGCCTCTTGTGTATCACAGGCAACCAGACTAGAAATGGGGCTGAACCAGTATTATCTGCTTCCCCTATTCGCCATGCACACACAGTGACATCAATTCTTCTATTGATTATGAATGGAAATAACCACTCATAATAAACTGTGGATGTACACATACAGATTTGCTACAATAGACTCTATCAGTAATTAGCCAGTACCTACAAGCTATCACCAGATAACCCCAGACTTCCTGTGTGATACATGTATACAGCTGGTCAATAGACCTGAAGGGAAAAGAGTGTCTTGTGCTAAGTGGATGCTGATGTCCCAAATGGGTTCTGATTTTGTGCGGGGTAAAGGAGACCTTCAAAAATAATAACTTGGTTATTAAAAAACATAGAGAATTCTTTGTGTGCCAGAATTCTCTTACTGCTGTAATTGCAATGCTGAGTTCTTAGATTTTTCTGGATTCCTTTTGGCTTCTGGTGAGTCATTTAATATTACATTTACCTTTTGCTTTGTTCTCAGTTCATCTTTTAGTTATTGTTCTCTCTCTCTCTCTCTCTCTCTCTCTCTCTCTCTCTCTCTCGGCTCTCTCCAACTTTTTGTTGAGATGATTATCTAGAAGAAAAACAGAATTTCTTCTAAAGAAAGCAAAACCTAAACTTGCAGTTGTGAAAGTACTTTACACTATTTTTGTATAATTACTTTCGTTTTCTATAGTGGAGCAGCTGAGAAAAATTGCTCTAATTGTGTAATTTTCTGCAGCTACTCTGGGACAAAAATCTGGGTAATTGGATTTTTTTAAACTAACAAGTTGTCACAATTGGATGGTTCTTAAACTATTTGTGCTTATGCTTCAGAAATTTTCAGTTGGATGTACAGTGTATTTTAAATGTTTTGCATCAGCTTGTGGCCTCAAATTTGATTTATTTTAACTTCAAGTTTTAAAATAGATTGACAACTCTGATTATACATTGTCTTCAGCGAGCGGACCTTAGCTAAGTTTCGAAGTGTGCACGTCTCCACCCCACACTCCGCTGTTGCCATGGGAGCTGAAATCCTGGCATGTGTAACTCCAGCTCCCAAGTGGCTCCGTTTCCCAGAGTGCTTTGCTGTTACTATGGAAATGACTGCCCATTAATCTTGCTGTCCTTTTACTACCAAAGCACCTTTAACTGTCTGAAGCAATCAAGTGATGTTACCTACAACAGAGCAAGGAAGGCAAGGACCGCTCCTCATTCGACAACTTGCGGCACTGATTTTAATCAAGATTTAATCAAGGAGCCGAAGGAATGAAAGCTGCTGCTGCTGCTGCTTCAGAAACATACAGAGCAGGATGCTTCTGGAGGCTGAGCACGCGCTCTTGTTCATGTCCTTGGTCGGTCGGGACCTCGGAACATGCACACTCTGTATTTTCAAAGCTATATTTCTGTTTTGTAAACATTGCCAAATACCACCAGAGAGTGGGGCGGGGTTGGGGAGGAAGGAGTTGGCCACTCCTTTATTTATTTATTTATTTATTTTTGGTCGTGATGAGAGGAACAGTCATGGTTACTCTAAACTCTCTGAAGGATATATTTTGGAAACAGTCATGAAAACTACCCCCCTCCAACCCTGCCCGCTGATCTGAACAAAACCTAATCATGGCAGAAACACTGTAAACATGAGTTGGAAGAATATTAGCTAATGAGTTAAGGATGGTTTTATTAACTTTGTATCTTTTCTCCATCACTGTTTAGGTATTTATGCAATTTTTTTTATTTGACTGTGTGGTTATTTGTCTAAGAACAGAACTTACTGGTAATTCTGGAAGGAATTCCCAGGTCATCAAGGGGAGAAAGTATCTGAAAATAAATAAACCTTGCTTGGGCTGACTACCTAAATCTGAGCATTCCTCTGTAGGATGAGCAGCCTGGCTCTGGGAAGAGAGATATGTCCAATGGCTGTTTCTGAAAATGGGAGATTTTAGGTTATACATGATTTTAAGTTGTATGTATTTCTGAAAATGGGAGGTTTTAAGCTTAAATTTATGGAGGGCAGTATCTAGCTAGTGCCTACAGCACACAGAGAGGCAGTTTGGGGCCTGAAAATAATCAAATAGCATTGATGTTAGGTGAGTGAGAAGAAGGATTATGGAGAAGAAATGAGCAGAAATGACCACGTGCACACCCGTCTCTCCAGATAGACAAAGGAAACGGGGTGCTTACAATCTGGAACATTCTAAACAACTTTGTCTGTTTGCCTTCCACTCTGCCTCCAAGAAGGAAGACAGGGAGGAAGCAGGAAGGTGAGAGAGGGAGGGAGGAAAGGTGGGACAGAGGGAGAGAAAGTGTAAGATCTGAGATTCATTTAAATATGCCAGAAAAGAGTATGTGTCCATACAGTTACCATTTTTACAGTGGTTGGAAAAGTCTTTCATAGCATGAAGACCCTAGAGGTTCATCAGAAGAAGAGTTAAAAAACTGATTGATGACTAAAACCTAAAGACAAAATGTGACAGTTTTTCAGCATTTCAACTACATCCCAAGCTTCAGTGATCAGACTGGTGGAGTCAGAATCCATCATGGTGGCCCCAGTGGTATCTTTCCATCTGTGTCAAGTGCCTATGGCTACTCAAAACAGGTACCACAAGCTGAGCATCTTACAGGCAGGATTTATTACTGCACATTTTGGTAGCTAGAAGTCTGAAATCAGGACAGAGCAGAGCTGTGTTCCTGAAACCTGTGAAAAGGCATCTTCTGTGCTTCTTTTACTCCCGTGTTGGCCCATGTTGGCCCGTGTTGGCCTGTGTTGGCCCGTGTTGGCCCGTGTTGGCCCGTGCTGTGGACATGTTGATCCTCATCATCACATGCCTGATCTCCCCATCAATTCGACATCTTCGTTGTACAACCCTTCCAAGGCTCACCTTCTCCTTCACACTCCAGTCCTGCTGGGTCAAGAAGCCCCTACTCCAATATGACGTCATTTTACCTATCACCTCAACAATGGGCTTATTCCCAACTAAGATCACATTCTGAGGGATGGGTGGTTAGGACTTTTCAGCCCAATGATACCTTTCTCCAAAAAATACTATCAAGAAAAATCTAGAGAGAAGTT